CCCCAAAACCCCAAAACCCCAAAACCCCAAAACCCCGTTGGTTCAGTTCCCACTTGAAAATATGTTAATTAGATTTGATCATCATCTTCGGCATAGAATTCTTGGTGCTTTGTAGTGCCTCCTTTAGTGATTCTTTCTTCTCTGTACTCATTATGTTTTCCTGTCCCTCCGCTTCCTACTCTGATTCTACTTTTACGGTAAGCACCAGAGCCAGATCCTCTTCCAGCAGAAGCAACTCTCTCAATTTGAGCTCTTCCGGCAGAACCTCTTGATCTTCTTGTACCTCCTGGACTATATCTGCCATCGTCTCTATCCTCATCTACAAGTCCTGCATTGCTTCCACTGACATATCCAGCTGTGTCCATATGTCTCCCAGAGCTATATCCTCTTCTACTGGCTCTACTAGCTCTGTTAGCAACTAAGTTGCTGGAAGAAACAAGATTGTCTCCTAGTCTTTCTTCTGCTCCATAGCTCTCTTTATAAGTTTGGCCACCACCTCCAGAACTTCTGAGGTATCTAGCACTATTGCTTGAAACTACCTCTGTTTTTCCAATTGCTCTGGTTCCACTAGCAAATCTTTCTGATCTGGCGTCTCCTTCATCAACTCCAACTCTCTCAGTTCTAATGACATTTCCATCATTATCAAGATATTGGATTTCCTTTCCGATAACTTCTCCGAACTTCTTGATGGTCTTAATCCTCTTTCTTCTTCCGCCACCAGAACCACGACTCATTGCGGCCTCAGCAGCAATTTCAAGTGTTGTTTGTCTCCCTCTTGAGACATCTCTGACAGCACGTGACTCCCTAACGGCTCTGCTCTTTCTGAGCTCTCTGGTGATTTCCTGCTCGATCTCGGCAGCCTCATCAACCACTTTCTTCTCAATGACAAACTTTCTTTCTGGTGAGTTCCTTTCTTCAGTTTTGATATGCATGATTTCTTTTTCAACTGGTTTGCGAAGTACTGGAGCCATTGGTTGTTTTGGTCTTGTGACTGGCTCTACCTTCTTGCGTCTGCAGCATAGGAAAGCAAGGCATGGAATCAAGCATAGCAATGGGATAAGCAATAACCACCATGGCCATGCGGATGATGGTTCCTCTTCCTGAGCAAAATTGGTTGGGGCAATTACAACAGGCTCTTCTGGTTCTTTGAGATTGATATGATGGATATGAGTTGGTTTTTCCTGGATTAGTTTTTCAACTTCTTGGACAACTATCTTTTCTTCAACTACAGGAACATTAACTCTAACAGGCTTTTCGATTTCCTTCACTACAATTCTTTCTTCAACAACAGGGACTGCATAAGCAACAGGTCTATCGATCTCAACAACTTTGAGATCTACTTTAGGACGTTGAGGGGCAGACTGAACAATTTCGACGAATCCAACCCGAACAGGTTTTTCAATAGGCTTAACTCTCGTAGTAATGGCAGGTGGAGCTACGACCTCAGTAACTGCTTTCCTACTTAAATGGCATTTCTTAACCTTTTTGGTTTCAGTATAAACGGAAGATTTAATGTATGTGCCCAGATAGTCCATGTAATCTTGGCATTTTGGAAACACGTTTAGGGAGATTTCTTCTCTACCTACACAAACATCATCGATGTCACCAAAGTACATTTTAGGATAAATGTTCTTCAAAAAGTCATCCAATTCAAATATTCCATGGTTAGACCCAGCTAAATTCATTGGTTTTCCGTTCAAAGATACACTCACGAAATGTTGATTGTTGGTTTCAAAGAGTTCAACCCTAAAATTTTCTCCTCCTTGTGGGGCCTCAGACTGAGGCTTCCCAAGAGCTTTCAAGAAAGCAGCGAAAGCCATTTCATTAGCAAAGAAGTGAGAATGTTTCAGCTGGTGAATCTGTGAATCTCTGATTTTCCCTTGAGCTTCTTGGCTCTTTGCGTAAGTATTCAGCATAGCGTAATTGATCAATGGAGTAGCAACAACTCTTGGAATCTCGCTTCCACCAACTAGACCTTCATAGAAGTAATCACGCTCGTAGTCTTCAATGAGTCTATCAATAGAAGCCTGATCTGAGAATTTTGGATACTTCTTACCGAGCCTTTTAGCAACAAGGTAATCATCCAAGTATTTATAAGCAGATTCAAAAGTAACTTTATTTCTAGACCTTCCAAAGGTTGAAGCCAACTGTGGGAACAAGTCCGACTTGTAATCATCATCAGCAGATTCTTCTGCAGATCTTAAACTCTTGAGTACATTTTTATACATTGCTGGTCATTGTTGGGACGGGTTAGACCAATACATAAATCCTTCGTCTGTACTAACTTGGATATTCCCCCCTCTTAAGTTTGGAGCGTCTGAGAGTCCTAGAGTTTGTCTTACAAGCTTTTGATGTTCCCTGGCATTGTTCATATTCAAGTTCAAATAGCTAACTGAGTCAGGATAAGCTCCCAGCATGAATGCATAAGCACTCATGAGTCCTGGTTGATCCTTTACACTTTCGAGAAAAACAGAGTCTGAATCGTAGTTTGGTGACATAAACCCTCCTCTCGTGATATAATCACTTCTGAATTGTTGACCGAGTTTATACATTTCTTTGATTCCATCTGGAGCGATATCTCCAGTCTTGGGGTATGAATTCTTAGTAATATCGTACTCAGGATTTGATGCGTATTGTGGATAGGTGCTACCGTGCATGGTTACATCCATCACGTACATAGTTTGCCTTGTAGAGGCTGCCTGAACCAGGGTCACGACAGCAACCAGAACCCAAAGAATCTTTTGGGCTCGGTTCGTTAAGGAGTATTTCATATTTGAATTATTTTAATATTCTTCAAATAAAAAAGCCCAATTAGGGGTTTTGGGGTTTTGGGGTTTTGGGGTTTTGGGGTTTTGGGG